AGTTAAATATCCTCAAACAAGAATTTGAGGACATGAAAAAAACTTGAATCAGAAATACAAAAACTAAGAACCAAAATAGACAAAAGATTTAACTCAGGAAAGAAATAGAAGAAAGAGATAAAATAGTTTAAGAAATGAAGACTAAATTATAAAGTACCCAGGGGAGAACAGATTTGAATGAAAACTTAGTAACTGGCATTAAAAAAAGGCAAGAAAACAAGAGAGTGAAAATGAGATCAAGAAAGAAGCGAAAGGTCAGAGAGGAATTGGTTGAAATGTAATGACAGTCAAGGAGGTCAAACATTCATTATTATTAGCGTCCCTAAAGAAGAAAATCAAAACATTGAAACAGAACTAATAGTAAAACTATAAACCGCAATCTAAGAAAACTTCCAGAAATAGAAGACTTGAATCTACATACACATTGAAAGGCCCCCTGGGAATTTGGGAAAATTGACCCAGAACAATTAACTCTGACACATATCCTTGTAAAACTGTTTAAAGAAAAAAATCACAAGGCATCCAGGCAAAAAGATAAATATTTTTTACCAAGGCAAGGGAATTAGACTAGCATCAGATTTCTGAACAATAACAAATAAAGCAAGACAAAAGTGGAGCAGCATTTTCAAGAAACTTAAGGGAGAAAATGTAAACCAAGGGTGTTTGTATATGTAACTTGCCCTTCAAGTTACAAGGCCATCAGACACAGTTTTGAATGTGGCAGAACTTGGACTACTGTAGACATGTGCTCTTCCTGAAGAATCTACTAAAGGATGATCTTCACTCACCCAAAAGAAAGTTTTGCAAAAGAACTGACAGTAAGCGTTTTATGTATTCAGTTGTAGAGGTAAAACTAAAAGAAGGTTGGTGACATCGACTGAAGAATATACAAATATCATATGTTCTGACAAAGTAGAAAGAATGCAGCTCAAAACTGGAAGGAGAGGGAAGGAAAGTAGAATAAAATCATTGACTGTTGTAAAGTTAATAGGTGGGAGTCGAAGGAGACTGTTAAAAACTGACAGATTATAAAAAGTAGGAAAAAAGGGAATTAAGGGCACTAAAAAAAAGTATTAACATAAAGCTACCATTAGAATAAAAATATAAGCCTTCCTAAATACCAAAAGAAAGTTTAAAAAGGCAGAACAAACACAGTAAAAAGAATATAATACACAGTAATTGCAAATGATATGTATACCATTACATTGTTGTTGTTGTTGGGTGCCTTTGAGTTGATTTCCAACTCATAGCGACCTCATGTGATAGAGTAGAACTGCCCCATAGGGTTTTCTAGGCTGTAATCTTTACGAGAGCAAATCACCAGATCTTTCTCCCATTACATTGATTGACTTTTAAATGTTGAAACATCTTGCATACTTGGAATAAATCTCACTTGGTCATGTGTATAATTCTGTTTATATGTTGCTGAATTCTACTTTTTAATATTTTGTTAAGGATTTTTGTGTCTATGTTCATGAGATACTGTGTTTATCTGGTTTTGATACCAAGGTAACACTAGCTTCAAAAATGAATTGGGAAGTACTCTTTCACCTTCTGTTTTCTGCAAGAAATTGTCTAGAATTCATGTTAATGCTTTAAAATTTGGTAGAATTCTCTGGTGAAATCAGCTGAGCTTGGAGTTTTCTGTTTTGGGAATTTTAAAATTACAAATTCATTTACCTTAATAGTTATAGAATTATTCAAATTATTTCATATTGGGTGAGTTATGGTAGTTTGTGTTTTTTGAAGGAATTGGTCTTTTATTTATGTTGTTAAATGTATGTGTGTTTATGTGTGTATACTCTTATTGTCCTTTTAATGTCTACAGGGTCTCTAGTGATATCTCCTGTTTAATTCCTAAAATTGATAATGTGTATCTTCTTTCTTTTTATCTTTGTCAGTCTTGCTAGAGGTTTGTCAGTCTTAATGATCTTTTCAAAAAACTAACAGCTTTTTATTTCACTGATTTTCTCTATTGTGTTTCAGTTTCATTGGTTTTTGCTCTTCATTATTTCCTTCCTTCTGCTTGACTTGAGTTTATTTTCTTTTTCTAGATTTTTGAAGTAGGAACTTAGATTACTGAGTCGAGTCTTTTCTAATATATGTGCACGCTCAATGTTGTGAATTTCCCTCTCAACACTGCTTTAACTGTGTCCCACAAGTTCTGATATGTTGTATTTTCATTTTTAATCAATTTAATTTTTGTTGTTGTTGTTGTTTTAATTTCCCTTGAGACCTCCTTTTCGACCCATGAATTCTTTATGTTATTTAGTTTCCAAGTGTTTGGAGATTTTTCTGTTAACTCTCTGACATTGGCTTCTAGTTTTATTCCATTGTGTGTGGGGAACACACTCTGTGTGATTTCAGTTTTTAAAAGTTTGTTTAGGTTTGTTTTGTGGTCCAGGATATGGTCTATCTTGGTTGAGTTTTTCTTTATCCTTTCTAGTTCTGTATCTAGTCATTCTATCAAGTATTGAGAGGGGGTGTTGAAGTTTCCAAGTGTAATTGTGAATTTGTCTATTTCTCCTTTCAGTTCAGTCAGTTTTTGCAGATGTTCAGCTCTTATTTCCTAAGAGGAGAGGTATTTTACCAAGCCCAGTTTCTCTGGTGGGAGATATTTCTGAAGGATTGAAGGATAGTCATTTAAGTCTTGACTGTAGCAGGTGTCACCAAGTGAGGCCCTGTCCAAGCAATGTGCAAGTGAAGAGCTAAGTTTTGTGCAGCTGCAATTTTCTTATCACTCTGCAGTATATACTCTAGGTATATTTGATAAAGTACTCCTTAAACTATATCCTTCCCTGCCTTCGTAAGGAGGATCTGAGTATGAGAAAAAGGAAATTAAATATTTGAGTAAAAGTACTTGCTTTGACTGAACCAACCTGGAAAATGGCTGAAAGCTCGAAAGTAATTAAAATTTAAGGGGAGTCTCCATGGGATGAAGCTGTTCTATGCAGCTATTGACTTCCTGGTATAAGTTTTTAGAGGCTGGAAATTAAAGTAATAAAATGACTTAGGTTTCAGATACAGCCAAATCAGCATCTAAATAGTGTTTACAGTATAAATAGACTCCTGCAGGAGTCAACAAGGACTTTAAAGATCTATGAGCATATTTTTAATTTACCATGCATAAATAAAAGTAGAAGTGTCATTTTGTTTGGTGGTTTTAGTTTTGTTTTGATTTTTGACAGTGGTCATGGTTATAATTCAGTTATCAGTCTGTGGTCTTGATAAACAGGCCTAGTGGGAGCTCTTTATTTTGTAAGAAATCAAAATGGCAAGGAAAGTTCTCTAGCAAGAAGGTGTGATGAGCCATATATATCTCTCCTTCCACTTAATCATGCTTTATATTACATCACCTAAAGAAGGGAATGACCTCCTTTCCTCGAATTTTAACTGTGCAGTGATCAATTAAGTATTACCAAACAAACCAGCCTAGACAGAACCTTTTTAAATGTGTAAACAACATTTGCTGCTTTCTGATTATAAAAGTAACACATAAGAAAGGCAGTAGAGCATATAGAAGATTACTGGGTGCTGCAAACAGTTTGTGCTTGGCTGCTAATCGAAAGGTTGGCAGTTCAAATCCACACAGCAGCGCTGTAGAAGAAAGCCCTGGAAATCTGCTTCTGTAAAGATTACAGCCGAAAACTGTATGGCACTCAGTTCTACGCTGTAACACACACGCTTAGTGGTAATGGGCTAGTACATAGAGGCTGAGAGTGCTGGCAGCGAAGTCGTAGAAGCCCAGCTCCCGTACATACTTGGCCTGTCAGGTATCTCTGTAAGCTTGGGTTTCCTTATCTGTAAAATGGGGGGCGGGGGGGGAATTATGGAAGTTTGATGTGAAGATTAAATAATGCCAGTAAAATGCTTAGAACAGGCTCCAGCTTAATAAAGAGAATTTAAAAAATGTTAGCTGCTACTGCTTTTATTATTATAATTTTTTATTGTTGAAAATAATATTAAAAAGAAAATCAAAATGACTAGTAAACCACAAGTGACTTAACATTTTGATGTGTTTTTCAGACTTTTTTCTTTGTATAGCTATACATACACACACGTGTGTAATCTATATGTATATATATCTGTATTATATACGTACATGCATACATATAGATTGTCCATTTATTCATTGCTGTCCAGCCGATTCCGACTCATAGCGACCCTGTAGGACAGAGTATAACTGCCCCATAGTGTTTCCAAGGCTGTAAATCTTTACAGAAGCAGACTGCCACATCTTTCTCCCGCAGAGCAGCTGGTGGGTTCGAACTGCCGACCTTTTGGTTAACAGCTGAGTGCTTAACCACTGTGCCACCAGAACTCCTTAGGATCATATATATACACACATATACACAAATACACACGTACATATATATATACACACACACTTTTTTTTCACTTTTTACAAAATTGAGGCCATTCTTTATATACAATTTATATCCAACTTAATTTTTCCCACATATCTTTACATTTTTCTTGACATTCAAATTCTTCAAAAACATAGATTTTCATGACCTCATAATATTATACCGTATAACTCTACATAATTATTTAATCATTACCTCCTTGTGAGATATCTAAGTTATTTCCAATTTTTTACCTTTATAAGTATTGCTGCTTTAAAGATTGAGAGTTATGGGTTAAAAAGTTTGAAAACTCTGAAGAATTGTCTTTTTTTTCTTTTTCCCCCTTCTTTGAGGTTGAATTTTTTCATGTTTGTTGATCACTGATGTTATTTCAGTAAAATACCTTTTAGGGAACGAATGGAACTTATAAAGCTTTTTATGTAGTGCCGGTTACATAGTAAGTGGTCAGTAAATATTTGTGGAACGATGAATGAATGACAAGCTCATTAACACTTTGCCTGTCATATATGTTTCGAATGGAGTCGAGCCTTAGAAAATGCTTACCTCTATACATTTACAAAAATAATGCAATTTTGTAAATGTAAATAATTGTCTTTATACCTAATTTTTTCCCATTTTTTTCTTGCCCCGCAGTTCATCCATGAGCTCGGATTTCCCTCATTACAACTTCAGGATGCCTAACATCGGATTCCAGAATCTGCCTCTCAACATATATATTGTGGTTTTTGGCACTGCTATATTTGTCTTCATCCTTAGTTTACTCTTCTGTTGCTACTTGATTAGGTAATCGATTTTCATTCTGTATTACTTCAGAATATTTTAAGCAGTCAGACAGCTCTTTTCCCTCAGATTCAAAAAAAATTTATAAGTCCAATAATAAGTAAAATTTCTAAAATTAAGGGTGACTTAGCATTTTAATCTTCTGTGAGTACTAATCAGTAAAAAACACCTTTATGCAATCTTCAATCCCATCTGCTGATGAAGTATTTTACTTTATAGGAGAAAATTGTCTCCATTTATTTTCCCATCATATTAGCACCTAGTCCAAATGGGTTATGTCATTATTTTTCCCCAAGATTTAGTCTACTTTCACAGAGATTTCAGAATTTTAACCAAAGTCATTAGAGGTCAGAAGACAAGGTCCAAGCCTTTAAAAAGTTTCTTGTGGTCTTTCAAGAAGATTTTAAGCTTCCGTTTGTTGTGGAACTGGTCAGAAGTTCAGGTAATTGATTATCTGCATAAAACACTAAATACCCACAGGCTACGCAGCACGTGTACAGACAAGTGATGAAGGATAACTTATAACTTGTCACTCGGGGTGGTCCTGCATTTGGCCAGTAAAGATCCATGGTTGACTGACTCATAATTGTTTAAACAAGCATTGTTTCTGTTTTACATTTTTAAATAGGGCCTAATTTCAGTACCAAAACTGAGGCTGTAAAAATCTTTTTACTGTATTATTCCAAGAGCTTTATGGAGTGTAAGAGTAGAAAGTTGACTTTTAGTAAACGGCTATACATATAACGTTTAGTGTTTGCCACAGTTTATGATTATGGTTACGGTAAATACCATCATCAGATATCTTTCAGCAGTAATTCCGTTTTAGGGAGATGAGTGCTGACTGATAGTCAAATTCATATAAATTTAGTGTGTGGTTTCTGATTTTCTGAGAAGTGCTTTTACATTCCTCATAGCAAAGTCTTTTCTGAAGTTCTCACAAAATCCCTGTATCGTATAGATATATTGGCTGCTTATATGATTTTTACATCTTGCTCAGAAAAATAAATGAAATACTTGAGGCTAATATAACTACAGTATTGAGGAGAAACCTTTTTAAAATGTGTTTATTTCTAGAAATTCTCCTTTTTCTTACATTTGTTTGTTGTTGTTGTTAGCTGCCATTGAGTCAGCTTCTTACTGACAGCAACTCCATGTGTTCCAGGGTAGAACTGCTCCATAGGGATTTTTTGGCTGTAATCTTTACAGAAGCAATTTTCCAGGCCTTTCTTCCACTGAGCGGCTGGGTAGATTTGATCTGCCAACCTTTAGGTTAGCAGCCTATCACAAACCACTTCTGCCACGCAGGCTCCAAAATGCTGACTATTTACATAAAATTTATTATGTAAATTTATTTATTAATAATTTTTATGTAAATAGGCAACATTCCTCTTAAAAATAGGGAATTAACCATGGCCCAGATAGGACCTCATAGCATTAAAATAAATCCCTTTTTTCAGACCTGCTGTATTTCTTGATAATTCCTCTGCAAATGGTGGTTTAACTCTATAATTTGTGAATTTAACATTTTAAATCAAATTGTTTTTTAAAAGAGTACAAAAATAATGACAAAATACAATAGAAAATATCCATTAAGGAAGGGTTGTTGTTGTTGGGTACTGTCAAGTCGATTCCAACTCATAGTGAACCCTATATGACAGAGTAGAAATCCCCTAGGGTTTCCTAGTCTGTAAATCTTTATGGAAGAAGACTGCCACCATATCTTTCTCTGGCGGAGTGGCTGGTGGGTTCGAACCGCTGGCCTGACAGCTAGCAGCCAGTGCTTAACCATTGCACCACCAGGGCACCTTAAGGAAGCGTTAGCATATATATAATATTTAATCCTAAAATGTATAACTTATGGTATAGTTTTTTTTTTACTATGTCAAAGAATTAATTAAGTCATAACTTTTTCTTTCTTTTTTTAAGAAAAACACTAATATGCCAGTTGTGATTCTGGGTTAATTTTTTTAGAAGTAAGTTATGAAACTCCATTTTACTGCATTGTGTCGCTTTTGATAATTAAGCAAATAAAGCAAAGCAATGAAGAAAAAATAATGATAGCAGTTATTTTCATGCATTATCCTTGTACTTCATTTTATCATTCAAGCTAATAAAATGAAGAGATGGGGATCTGCTACACTAAAATAAAATTCTCATGGTTAGATTGGCCCATAAAATAAATAATATCACCCGTGTGTACTGTGCTCAAAATTATCGTCTAGATGAAGCCAAATGGTTAACATTTACCCTAGACCAAAGATGAGAAGGCGAGGGGAGGGGCAGGGAGGCTAAATTAATGGAAACAGAACAACCAAAATGGAAATAACCAGAATGCTGATAAATTGTGAAGAATGTAACCAATGTCATTAATATGTATAGAAATTGTTAAGTGACAACCTTATTTCCTGTGTAAACTTTCACCAAAAACACAATAAAATATATTTTTTTAATTTTTAAAAAGCGAAAAAAAATACGTTTAATCAGAAATGACAGTCATGTTCAAACATTTGTAAACTTCATTTACTAGTCATTGGCAACATTTTGAAAATTTAATCCTGACCTGTCCCTTTCTGATAATCCTAATTTGTTACCTTTAGTCCTTCAAATGTTAAACTTGGATTTAACAAGTCATTTATAGTGCATCTGGAGATCATGGATTCAGTGCCTCCAAAATTACCCAAGCCCATTTTTTAGCATAACCTACTAGCACCTTCCCAGGAGGCTCTTCCGTTCTCATGCAGAGAACAGCTCCATCAGCCACCACCTATTCCAGTCACAGCTACACAAGTCAGAACCATAGGAGGAATACAACTTAGGCACCCACCACCAGCAACAATTTTACACACTAGTGGAGAATCTGCTGAATATGGTAACAAATCATGTAATATTCTCTCTCTCTTTACTGTATCCCAGACACCCAGAACAGTACCTGGCACAATATTAGGCACTCAATAAATGTTTGCTGGGTGAATAAATGAATAATTTTTCTAGTAGCAAGTAAATAAGTATGCCTAAAGTGAAAAATCAAAAAGTAGCAACATAAGCAAGTTATTCAGAGCTGTGGAACTAAATGCAAAATAATGAGTTAAAAGGGGAAAAAATGGTTCTCTCTGGGGAAGAGGGCAGACTGCTGGTGTTTGTTACTAACTTTGTAGAACTATATATGATTTTTAAATATGTACACATATAACTTAGATAAAATGAAAACTAAAAGTATAGGAAATTTTTTTTAATTGGTTACCTAATAAAAATTATAAAGTCTTGAACCAAGATAATGACGATGGACTGAGAGAGCATGTTTTGGTTGTGAGAAATATTTGAGTGGGGAATGCACAGAAATTGATGACTGGATATTAAAGGCAAGAAAGGGATGAGTTTAGACTCTTTCCTGGGCTTCTGGCCTAGGCAGCTGGGATTGCCCAGATAGCAAATGCCTTCACAAAGATAGAAAATACATTGGCAAGTTCTAGGTGGAAGAATGAGGGATTCCATTTCAGACGTGGGGAAACTGAGTTCCCTGTGTAACAGACAGGATGTTCAGATGTTTCGTTGGAGGTATGGGTCTAAAACTTACAAGAAATCTGGTCTGGAAATAGGAGGTTATGTAATAATAGGTGGTAACTGAAGCCCGGAGTGTCCCCTAGGGAGAATGGTAGAGTGAAATAAGATGGATCCAGGACAGAACCTGAGGGAAACATTGATACTTAAGAAGAGCCCATAAAAGAAACTGGTAAGGGATGGCAAGGGATAGGAGGAAAATCATGAGAGAGGTGCCCCACAGATAGAGATTCAATGGGTTGAGTCAGTTGTGTCATCTGCTTCCAGGGAGATCCAGGAGATAAGAATTGAAAAGTTCCCATTATATTTGACAGGTTTGCATCCATAACCTTAGTTAGAAAAGTTTCAGTAGCTTGGGGTACAGGGTCATGGAAGGTGGGCTCTAATGGGGCAAAGCCTGATCAGCAGACGAGGAAATGGAAACAAGGAATATCACCTCTTTTTTGAAGAACCTTGGCTGAGAAAAGATCAGGTTGGGGGGAGAGATGCTATAGAATCACAAAAATATTTTGTTGTTGTTGTTGTTTTTAAGATATTTATATTAAAAAGGATGAGCCAGTTGTTGAGGATTTGTGAGAAAGGATAAATCATGGAGGGAGGTCACTTAAGAGATAAGAAGAGACACATCTAAGAGATGAAGAGGTATTAGTCAGAAGCAGGAGAATACCTTCTCCTAAGACAGAGATGAGGGTAATGTAGAGAATGATACATGTGTAGGTATGTGGGACTGGGAATTACAAAGCTTTATACCTGACTTAGGAGCCCTGGTGGTGAAGTGCTTAAGAGCTCAGGCTGCTAACCAAAAGATGAGCAGTTCAAATCCACAGACCATTCCTTGGAAACCATATGGGGCAGTTCTACTCTGTCCTGTAAGGTCACTATGAGTTAGAATTGACTCGCCAGCACACAACAATACCTGACTTAAAAAAAAAAAACAAAAAAAAAAAAACACCTTTTTTCTCTGTGGAGTAAAATTGATAGCTGAAAATGATGGAGGAGGATATAGTGGTATAAAGCTTAAAGAGCATGACAAGAGTTTGAAATGACCACTGTGTGAAAGCTTAGGGTACTGAGCATGGATAGGTAGAATGATTAGAGAGCAATGTGGAGGAACTGAGAATGGAGACCACAAAATTGTAGTGACCATAAGCTACATAGTTTTATCATTTTCTTCAGCACTGTTCAGCGTTATTTGTTATGCCCTCTTAGATACTCATCTTTTTATCAACCAGCTTTTATTAAGCACTTACTACATGCCTGCCAGATCCTGTGCTAAGTACTATACCTGCAGTTGAACTAGGTAATGTTACTGTCTTTATTTTACAGAAGTTAAATAACTTCCCTAGGATCACACAGATAAGAGTTAGTTAGAGCTGGGGTTCAAACCCAGTTCTGTCTGATCCTAGAGCATGTGCTCTTACCCCTTAAAAATAATGAAGAAAAGA